TGACAGGCAAATTGTCTTGCATGAATGTTTCGTTTAGAGTATTTCAGTTAAGCGGGCGAAATCTGCCACAAACTAAGTCCAAAATGGGCTTTTGCCATTTAGTCAATAGTTTCTTCATGTGATTACATCCTAAATTGCCATTCGAACAACCTTTGATGCAAAGATTATTTGAGAAGAATTTTTGAAGAGTTAAAAGGGAAAATTCCTAAAGAATCTTTTATTAACCTCAGCTTTACAGTAAACGTGCGAAGAAGGAGGGGGGCGTTTATGTGTTTGCACTTGACGCTTCATCCCAGTTATTGTTTGATTATTAGATTTGTGATTAATTCCATCCAATTTAAAAGTTATTACGGTCATAGAAAAGTTACTGAATATCTAAAACATTGAAATAATTTAAACCCGAGCAACAACTACACAAAAAGGTTTTATTGATGAAATTCCTCTATTAAGAACAATCAAAGACTTGCGAAGAACCTCCCGTGAAAAAGATGAGGGAAAGTAGCTGAATATACCAAAGGATGATGCCTGCAGGCGGGGACACAGGCAGACATTTCTAGATAGGTAATATGCAGGTATACGAGGAGGTGCGGTTATACATTTCCAGCTATGAACAGCCGGGCAACGCCTGGTACCTCGGCTAGTATAAAGATATATAATCGAAATTAAATTACCAGACGATCAGTCTTGTGTTCTGTTAAATTATTTTGGATTTAAATTTGATATTTTGTTATTCCCGTTTGTCCAGCATCCTCCTTGTCATAATTAACATGAGGGATGTTTCGACTTGACGACACGCCGCAAATTATTTTCAGAAACTTTGTAAATACTTTTTATCCACCCTTCTCCAACCTCGCTGCCTTGTGCTAACTCAAGAAAGTTCTGCAGGTTTTCCAAACTTTAAAAAGTTTTTCTTTTTAGCGTAACGATGGATGTTTTTATACTTCTTTTAATGTCGTTGTTCAAAGCGTATTCTTGTTCGTTCAATGTCACTGAATGTTATTCTTTCCTTTCTTACTGATGTCAAAACCACCTTTGTTTCTCCACTCAATTTTTCTTCTTAACTTTTATCCTGTTTTTTGTCGAGCATCTCTGTCCGTTTGGCAGTTCCTATCACGGTATAATGACTGCTGATATGTTTTTTTTATTCGTCTATAAGACATGATCCCTATTTTACAAGACTTATTTCAGCGTACGGATTTTCTTCGAGCTCCAACCCCTTGGAGTTATATTTTAATTTTCCTGAAGAAAGACCCACTGAAGTTTTTAATCTCGTAAATTCAAGGAGAAAACAAAATCTTATTGTTTCACAGATATCTGTTCAGTCCACAGGAATCACTTTTCTTCCGGCTACACTAAGGTAATTGCTCTGATCACAACAGATGCCAATTTGTCTTCTCTTAAAAATTGCAAGCGTGTCCTCAAAGAAGTTAGGTCTTTGTTCATTGACAGAATGAAGAACCACCTAGAATTGTGGTTTTCGTGACAACATGCGACGTTGTAACTGTCTGTTAAAGAATGGTAAGTCTTCTCTTCACTAGGTTTGTTTCGATATCTTCTAATGATGAAGCAGACTGTTTTTCTAGGAAATTCTCTTCCAGTTCTAAGCTTGGCGCCTCTTGAGAAATTTGTTCCTAATTTTCATCACCGACCTTCACGGTGCCATCAGCTCTGTTTACTCATGCTTGTATTTTTAAGTCTGATAGAGTCGATAATTTCACCACCTCCAAAACGAAACTACGCCCTTTTACTCGTCTTAGAGAACCATTTTCACCTTTCAACAGTATAGCTGATTCTAACTTGCAGATGGTTACTCATTGCGTTAAAATCGGCCAAAGAATTCCCACTGAATTTTCTCCCCAGAATATATGCCACACCCTTTATAACTCTGCCATTCATCCTGACAGGGCATCTCGGCTTCAATCATTTTCTTTCCGACCGTCGTAAGGTAACTTCCCTTTTTAGGTAAATATTTTCACGCTAATTGTTTTGGCAGATCTTTAGTCTTTGGCACCCTCGACTTTAACCGCAGTACTAGATTGACAGTTTGGTCTCACAATTTCACTGTTTAAGTTGCTAGATGTTAGCATGAGTTCTATTTAAGAGTTTCTTCTCTGACAATTCTCCATTGGGAAATACACCTCGGCTTTTGCTCTATCAAATAAAAATGCAACATGGTCGTGATAACACGTCTTCTTAAAAATGTTCTTTTCTGTTTTCCTTTCTTTTTAATAAAATCTCCTGCATTCTGTTTCATTTTATTGTCTTTCATCCTCTGTAAGCTGATGTTACTTAGGGGTTTTATCACCTTGCTTGACGGGAAATAAGTAAAAAAATACTTTCATAGTATTTACTGTTTCTAGCCATATTAAAACCATGTCTTTCATTCAATATGGCTTCTTGGAGACATCAGTATAACTATGAACGACCCAGGTCAATAATCCCGTTTTGTTTTTCTTCACAAGTTCTCTAAGATTCCGATGATAAGAAATTTATGGTATCCATGCGTATACTATGGTTATTTTCCAATGTCATTTTATGTTATTTGACTATTTGGTAGTGATAACAAAACCACCTTGACTTCTTTGCTTTTTTTATTCGAGATTAAATTTTCTTCCGAAGATTATAACTTTATAGAGGAGACACGGTGATAATTGATAGCAGCTGGGATTGAGGAATCGCGGAGCCGAGTTCGAATTCCAGTCGAATTCATTATATTCACTTAGTTGCTGATAGCTTTTGGGAAAGATAAGAATCCTCTTTTTTTCCCCCTAGCTGTGGGTAAATAGCAGGACAAACCGGGCTCTGGCTTACCTTCGAAAGAAATGGCAACCTACTGCAGGAAAAAAAAAATCTACCTCGTCAGTCATGTATCGAAAGATACATGATCGCCTAAGCGTGTATCACGCATGGCATATAAATGACTGAATAACTTTATGGTATCCATGCGTATGCTATGGTCATATTCGAATGTCAATTAATATTATTTGATCATTTGGTTGTGATAACAATACCACATTTGCTTTTTTTTTTTACTCAAGATTAAATTTTCCGATGGTGATAACTTTATGAGCAATTAAAAGCATTTACAAAATTTAAATATGAACTTGCCCATTTTTAAATGTTGACAACCGGAGAAATCATTGTCCACTCCTTTATTTTGACAGTCAACTTTGTTGTGACATCAAATGGTAAGACACTTCTGGGTTGATATTTGAATTGTACCTGTTTTTATGTGTTTCCATATTTTTTAGTCTTGTAAATTCGAATGATTTATGACAGATTATAGATTACCTTTTTCCATTTGAAACAATTGCTTCGTCTGTCGCTAGCTAAGTTCGTTCATTGTGTCGTGCCAGACAAGTTTTTCTTGTCAGAATCCGTTTTACGCGTTTATAAACCTACCATTCGTCCGTGTATTGAATATTGCTACTACATCAGGTTTGGTGTTCATGCTGTATATCTCGAGATTCTCAACAGAAAACAAAAAGGATATGTAATATTATAGATCATGATCCGACATCTCGACATCAGTTACTTTCCCAGAGCTGTGGTGTAGTCCTTTCTCTAAATATTTTCATGGCAACTGTTCTAATCTTGTCCCTGGTCACACAACAGCGTTAATTTAAACATACTAGTAGTTTTTCTATGAGGTCTAATCATTTTACTATTCTAATAGTTTTATTTTCTGTCACTTCCCACCTGTGGAACTCCCTTCCTGTTACTTGCCTCCGTACCACCTACAATCTTCAAAAGTTTAAATGTAACGTTAATGTCCACCTTCTATTTTCATGCATTCTGTTCTTTTATTGTCCTTTCTGATTACTAATTTGTTCTCATTCTCTTCCACTCCAAGTAACCCCTTGCGTCTTAGGGGTATTAACACTTTTCATTGGGTGTAATGATAGAAAGACTAAAATATAAACATCGAATGTTCTTCAGTTGAACTTTTGCTTAACCTTTTGAGCCCGTCCTGGGTATGACGATAAACTACATCCGTGTCCTGGGTAAGACGATAAGCTACATCCGACAGCAAGTCCTCTGATCAGGAGGCTTTGAGGAGCGTGGAATCACCTCTTAATTGCTGGTATTCCCAGGTCCATCCTGACCGGAGTGGTAGCACCTGTTAGGGTCCCAGCTATGGGCAAATAGTTGACCCACAAACTGTGGTCAAGACACTATGAAAGTGTAAAAATACGTTTTACTACCAGCAATACATTTTTGAAAAAAAATATTACCAGCAATAAAAATCTTGGCATTAAAATAACCCATTGAGGTTGATATGCCGTAAAACAAAACAAAACAACAACCTTTGAGCACTGCGTTCTTGAACAATTTTAACCCCGAGTCAAAATTCGCAAATAATTGGTATGTAATGTTTCACGGTAGATATAAAAACAGTTACAAGTTTTTACACACCGTTCATACAGTGTCTGGAGATCAAGTCATTTTTCTCTACCATTGTTCAACTGGTGGCTGGGTATTACGTCATTTTTCTCTACCACCGGTAAAGCAGTGGTCAGGGCTCAAATGGTTAAAATAGGTATTATGCCAAATTCAGGCTGGGTCGGAGTGCTTTCAATCGTTTGCAACTGGTGGATGCTTTTGCGTAGCATCAAGTATTCCTGTTGACGCCTGCACGCGAACAGAGGAGGAAGCATATAATGCATAACGCTAAGATTTTAGCTATGACAGACGGCTTGGCACACACAAGTGTTTTTAAAAATTCAAGAGTCGATATGAAAGCGAAAATAAATTTATGGTTTCCTTGAGATAAATATTTAATTTATACGACGTGTTAAAATGAAAAAGAATCATTTTTATTCCAACAATAAAGTTATGACAAAGTCATAAAATATGAGAGAATCAAAGCGGGCGAAATATTTTCATGGAAAAGATGATTAATAATTCCTTCTGGAATTATGAATACATTTGTATATATATATATATATATATATATATATTTAGTGAGAGTGAGAAAGAGAGACTGATAGATAAATGAATTAAAAAATAGATAGATAGGCAGATGTGAACAGACAGAAATAAAAAAATAGATATGAACAGACTGAGAGAGAGAGAGAGAGAGAGAGAGAGAGAGAGAGAGAGAGAGAGAGAGAGAGAGAGGAAAGAGAAATAGAAGGCGAGATACGAGCAGACTAGATAGCTTGCTAGCTAGCTAGACAGCTTGTTAGCGAGCTAGATAAACAGATAGGTAAGAGCTGGGATAGATAGATAGATAGATAGATAGATAGATAGATAGATAGATAGATAGATATGCAGAGACTGGAACAGATAGATAGATATGGGCAGACTGAGATAGATAGATAGATAGATAGATAGATATGGGCAGGATGAGATTATATATAGACCTAAAATAAATATACAGGTTAATAAGAAGCGATTCAGATAGATAAGGACAGATGAAATTACATATAAATCTAAGATAAATATATAGATAGATAAGAACCAATTCAGATGAATAGATAGATAGATAGATAGATACATACATACATACATACGGACAGAATGAGATTTATTATAGATAGACCTGTGCAAACGTAAACAAAAATGGTAGAGTTAGGCAGGAAGCAGCACGCATTTAAAAAATTCTAGACATAATAAATATGAAGAATTGTCGACATTAAAATAGAACATGATCATCTCCAGAAAAGAAATATATTTCCTGATTTTAAACGAAAATAATGACATGTATAATTGCGAAGATTCTTTAAACAAGACGATTATATATTTTTGGTTAAAGTCGACACGAGCGTAAATGAATTCCTTTGCAAAAAAATTCACAAGAGTTCGGCCGCGTAGGATAATATTACATACTTTTGTTGATGGATTGTTTTAGCATCTTTGGTATTTGCTTTGATTTCTTGATACAGGAATCGAACCTGCATTCTACACAGAACCGTCATATAACCTGGCGAACTATAATTGTCGGAGGGCGCATATCTTCTATGACAATTTCTCGGGCATTCAGGCCGGTAAATGTTGTTAATACTTTTTATTATAAAGAGAGCATTTACTTAAATATTTGTGTCTACATAAATAACTGTTGTAGAGTAGTTTCACAGTGGAGGCTTGTATTTCACTAAGTCGGTCCTAAAATAGGTTCGACGTACAAAACATTAGGAACTTGATATAATAGTTAATGACGCAGTAATCTAGTTGTGGTGGCTGATACTTTAATATCCGACTAACGGTCGTCCGACATCGACTGACTAACTCCCTGAGCGACTGGCGACTACTACTACGCCTTATTATAGATGGGAGAGTCTATTAACACTAGAATAGGTGTGTTTCACTATAACAATAACATATAACAATATATATATATTTTTTTTTTTTTTTCTCGTGGTCAAAATCTTAAGACCAGATACAAAAGGGTTAAAACAAACATGAAATACTGTTACTTTAATCGAAATATATTTGCGAAACATTTACATTAGAAAATGTAGTTTATCAACAAACGAGTGAAAATTTAAAGCTTTTAATTGATTAATTTAAACAAAAACTGAAAAAGTAATTTTGGAGTGTTGGCCATAAACATAAAACCATTTAAATAAAAATAGAAAATAGTGAACAAATAAGTCACAATAACAATTTAATATTCAGTATATCCTCCATTTTGCGAAGTAAAAAATTCGCTTTGGTATACTCATTATTACCTTCTACACATGGATGATTGGGATGTTCGCCCACGATACATTAACTGCAACACGAAGAGCAACCCAAGGTTCAAATTGACATCCATGTTTATAAATATCCGTTGCCATCCATCCCAAAACATTTTTAATTGGGTTTAGATCTGGAGAGCACGGTGGATAGTTCAAAAGCTGAATGTTGTTTTCTATAAAAAAAAAACTCCTTTAATCTTCGAGCGTTGTGGATTGCAGCATTGTCCTGCTGGAAAATACAGTTTTCTCCACACAGATGAGGGCCTTCAGTAATTAGCGATACCTTTCTTAGCATGTCAATGTAACTAGCAGCTGTTTGACCTCATTGTACGAAAATGAACTCCAGACCATAATTGATCCACCTTCATGATGTCGTGTTGAGAAAATTTCTTTTGGGTTATGATTGGCATGTCAGTAATGCTGAAAACCGTCTGGGCCATCAAGGTTGAATTTTTCTCGTCTGAAAGCAACACTTTCTTCCATTTATCCATACCCAAAGTTTGATAATCGGAAGCAAATTATAAACAGGAGGTTTTATGGCGAGGAAGAAGGTGTAGACCCTGCAGCCGTTTCACGTTCTTATTTAAATGCCGTTGAATTGTTTGAGAGCTGCAATCAACATCTGTATTCACTTTTAACTGACTTCATGTTAAGCTTGAATCTCTCTTAACTTCTCGCCTAATGAAACTGTCTAGAGATGGTGAGATTTTATTGGGGCGACCGATTGATTTTTTAAATGCATACACATCTGGATTTTTAACGAAGTTAGGAATGACAGATCTGCTATAGCCAATTTAATTTGCAATGGCTCATTGTAAAAGACCACATCTTTAAAGTTCATCATTTCTGCCCTGCTCGAACTTTGTTAAAATTTTACCCGTAGCCATTTTAAAATCTGAACTTTAATATTGGAAATGAGCAACGTAGATTTCAACACGCTATGAGTACACTGACTAGTTCTAAAATGTTTGTCCAGTAATTTTTTTTCACACATGGTCTTATCTTTATGACCAACCAAAAATTTAAAAAATACATCCCTACCCACTACCAAAACGTAGCAATAACTGATACATTAAAATATAGACATATTGAAAACCCAGACACCTCTGTCTTGAAAAATAGATTTATCTCTAACCTTGGAAACATGAATTTTGTTTTAGCTGTGTATTTAAAACCCAGTAATTTTAAAAGTTACTCCAAAATTCGCTTGAGGATGAAATGGAACTAATGTCTTTAATTTAATCACAAAATTAAATTCGGGGCTTTTAGCTTCCATTTTTGAAACATGGTTAGAACTGTAGCGAAAAAAAACATATTTTAAATCAATAAATTTATAATATATATATATATATATATATATATATATATATATATATATATATATATATAAGTTTTATTAAAAACGACTAACAAGGAACTGCAATTAATTTTTTTATTTAATATTTCTTGTGTTCTTATATACTTTTCTTCTTTTCTGAACATACATTATGAAGAAATTGTCCGACTGTTCTGTATGTCCAAGCACTTTCAACTATACTTTTAATCATTATCTCATTTAAATACACATGGAAACCTACCAAATTCCATCAATATTTTTTCCTTGATACTGCAAATATAATAGCCTCATCCATATGTAAAAAAACAAAAAAAACAAAAAACAAAACAAAAATGAAAGCATTCTTAATAAAAAAGAAAATGCTAACACTCAATAACATTAATTTTGAACATTGTCTCAATGTGCTGATCATTTTCAGAAAATAAAATTCTTATAATTCTAGATATAGACACAAAACAATCGATACATTCAGTTAAAAGTAAAAATAAAATCATTTTTGATAATGGCGAAAAGTATAGCCGAAAGTGCTCGCACAAACAAAACATTTAAATAATTTCTATAGAATTTATGTCCAGAAACAAAGAACATTATAAGTACGCACAAGAACAATTAAATAAAACCTTAACTGCATTATCTTGTCAGTCATTTTTAATGAAACTTTATAATTTCTGCCCAAGTACACTATATATATATATATATATATATATATATATATATATATATATATAAGCAAGTGTAAATGGATAAAATCCGATAGACTGTATAAATTTTGAAAAACAAACAAAAATCCATAAATCTTTCATTTTAACTACATTTATGGATTTTTTGTTTGTTTTTCAAAATTTCATATATATATATATATATATATATATATATATATATATATATATATATAACTGCATTATCTTGTCAGTCATTTTTAATGAGACTTGTATCAGCGGCTGATACTGACGGACGTATTTCAGTAAGAACGGTTGGTCACCTAACTACGTCTATCTTTTTTTCCAATGTCGAGGTGCGTAGCACAACGCTTTCAAGGGGGCGACCTGATACGTCCGATGTTGCTGTTTGAGCTGATATGATGCAAAACCCGAAATCAGCGATGCGAAGATTGCATCACTGAAGACCACCCTTAATGCATCTAAAATATATTATGCAACTATATATATATATATATATATATATATATATATATATATATATATATATGTGTATATATTTGTGTGCGTGTATGCGTGTCTGATTTATAATGGGAGTCAATGAAATTATTATTAAATAAATAATTTTGGGAAAATCTACAGGCTATATTTATGCGATAAATATACTTTCTTAATTTAAGCTTTGATTATTTGTGGAAATGAATGTAAATTGGACGACTCGAATTACAATAAATAATCTCATGAGTATGTTGACGTTCATAAATACTCTTCCCAAGAGTGTCAGACATGCCAACAGGAGGGAGGCTTGGCCATGGGTTCGCCGTTGTTACCAGTGGTTACAAACTTATACAAGCAATACTTCAAGGAAATGGCTTTAGGGCCGGCACTGATAAAGCCAGTAGTAGGGATGAGATACACTGATGATGCCTTTATTCTGTGGCCTTACCAGCAACTATACAAAACTGCTAGAGCCTGGGAATTCATTAAAACCCTCGATCCAGTTCATACTTAAATAATAATCAACTGACCTTCTTTGATCTACAAATAATTCGTACTGAGAATAGGTTCAAACAACTGATTGTCGTTCTTCTTCTTTATGCACCGTAGGCATCCATGGCCCTCCACAATTTCCTGTTCTTCCTCGTTCCAAATAAATTTTGTCTTTTTGCTATTTCTCCTAAACCTTGTCCCGTGATTCATTTCCCCAAGCTCACTACGTTTGTTACGCGCTGATTTCCCCGTGTCTATCTAGACTAAACTCTGAGTATCAGATTTTCCAAGCCCTCTTTCCTCACTATGTTTGTTCCCGATGTTAAGCATATATTACCTTTATATTTCCATTTACTCTAAAACTTCGTCGTAGCTCCCATATTCGATCTGTGGTATTCTCAGCATCCTTCTGTAGAACCACACTTCTGGTGCTTCAAGTGTCTTCTTCTTTATCTCGGAAGAGATCACCCAGCATTCACTGTCATACAGGAGGACAAATATCAAGTAACAGTTTAGTAACCTTTTCTTTATTTCCAACGAAATTTTTCTATTAATATTTTGCTTAGCTTTAGGAAGGCAACTTTGGCCATGCTATTGAGCCTTCGGATTTGACACTCCGTCCTCTGTGGAAACATTTCCCAGATATTTAAATTGTTGTATTTGTTTGATTTTGTTATCTACAATTCGTAATCTGCATTTTGGGATCATCGTTTTGCTAAGAACCCTGAATTCTGTCTTCTTGAAGTTGATATTTCATCCTTTCTTCTTATTTTGCTTCACTACTTTCTTCAGAAATTTTGATGTGAAATTAAAAGGTTTCTCTCTAGAGTGTTCTATTTTATATTACGCAGTAACGTGTTCTTTCTGTTGAGCCCTA